GACTTCCGACCGGGTCTCAGGTAACCCAGTGTTCTTTTTCCAAAAGGTCCAAGTACTCACAAACAGGGCCACTGACCCGGCTCTGGAGCAGACACTGGTAATCTAGGTCCAAGTTTGCTCGATTATGTTCTGACGCTTCATGTGCTTTCATAGCCAAGGTTTCTCACTTTCTTCGCAAGCTCTTTTAGTCTTGAGAGTTGACAACTGCTTATGGTTGTGTTGGCAGAAAACATGTCAGCTAATCTGACAACCGTCCAACCCCATTTTACTGGTAAGTAGTCAGCGAGTGGCTTTGATGGGGCCATACAGTACTAGAGGGGAAGTTACGCGGCATATTTGTGCTTCCTTTTTGAAAACACGTTCTCGCTCGAAGGGTTTCTAAACTTTATCCCTGCGCTCATTGATGGAGTTCATCGATGGAGTTGCCAGCGGCACTCTACAGAAGAACAATGTTGTCAAGTTTTTTATGAAAAATTGTCAAACATTTTCAAATTGCTATAAGTTTGGTTAGGGCCGGGTTCCACTGCGGCTCCGCAGCTCCGCTGCTCCACGGTACTTGGCTGCATGCAGCAGAGCGGCGCGGTTCCAGTGACACTCGCCATTCACGGTACCGCGATCGTGCTCGACGTTTTTTTTTATGACATTTAGCCTGCCTGCGCGCGCGTGAAATCCAAAAAAAATCCTCGTGTTCTGGCCTGTGCAACGAATTAAAATTCCCACGAATAAAACAATTAAGTGCGGGAAACAATGCAAGCCGTGACCGCGGCTTGCATTTTTTTGTATCAAGCAGCGAAGCGAAAGCTGGTGATGAGCCGCGGCCTCGCTGGACCAGCTCGTAATGATGACGTTTCATGCCGTGGATGATGTGCGGCGGAGCGGCAGTGGAACCCAGCCCCTAGGCAAAGGAAATTTGTCATTAATTTGTTTATGCTGCATAGATGGAGAGCTGCACACTCTGGCTTATGGACTCTCGCCTACAGTGTAGTCGTACTGCTAGTGTACTGGCATTACAGAAGACACGAAAAACGAGAACATAATTATGGCGAGAAAGTAATTACTGGCTAAGAATTGCCCTAAGACTTACCGCTTCTCAGTGCTCCATACCAGGAAGTAGTACACTACCTACTCCCTGCTCCATACGAGTGTTCTCTCCTCATTCTCTGCATCCTTTACCTCAGGAGTCTCGTCCATTTAGCGGCTCATATGCTTGAGCTCCGGATAGCGGAAAATAGCTCGTCGTCCATTAGCGGCTCTAATAGTACCTGGTCTGAAGTGTCGCAGTCTAGCACAACTATGATTTTTTCCAGGAGGGTAAGGGTTGCAAACCCAAAGAGACCCTAAGCTTCGTCTATCAAACAAAACAATTGCCCTAAAAAATGGAAGAGGAAAAGAGTGAGCGAGCTGGTCTGAGCGCGCTACTTTTCAAAAAATAGAAGCTGAAAGCCATCAAAGTCAAAGCATTCTGGCTAGCGCGTTTGTGTATGTCACAAGCGCTAGCGCGCTAGTCGCAGCAAACGCTCGCAGGCCAGAGTTAGCGCTATTTGGGCTGTTTGCCGCACGCGGCAGCTGGATGGATCACGTGATCCAAGCTGACAAATAAGGTCCGATGGTTCAGCTACATTGAGCCACAAGCGTCAAATTTTGCTGAGGTCTGAGTGCATACTTGCGTGGTATCGGCCAAGTGCATGCGCAAAACTGTACAGGTACGCACCATGCTTCGTTGTACGGGCATGTAGTTCAGTGCATCGTGCTGCTCTGACGTTCAGCTTTCAGTAGAGCCTACATACGTCATAGTGCGTACATTTTTACGACTTGCAGGTCATGTACACTTCCAGCAAAGAGTTTTTTCACAAGGAAATGTTGTTAGTACGCGTTGGAAACGTTGCCTATCGTCTTCAGCGTCGTGTTTCCATTCAGAAACAGTTGAGTTCTTGTTCACCAGGGTTTGCGCATAGCTGCGCAAGGAGGAAATATGGACGTAGATAGTGAGGAGAAGGGCTTGAGGCGGAGGAGAAAGATGCGTCGTCGTCCTACCTGAGCCAGTTTCAAAGCGTGCTGAAAGCCAATGTTTGACCCTGTTGTGCTTGAACGGCTACTGATGTTTACGAACAATCAAACGGCACAGTGGCTACAGGAGAAATCCTCCGATGACAGGGACACTTTGATCGACGCATCCAGGCGCGCTGCACCAAAATTCTGTTCGAATTTCGAGGCTCGCCAGCAGACAATTCATGACTGCTGTATGGAGCAAGTGAAGGAGAAGGATCAGGTAGCACACGCAAGATAGAACAACATCAAAAGGAAATGGAGACTTTGACGAAGATCACGGCTGTTGGTGGACTCTGGATCTCGAAGGAGGCAGCACAGGAGCAGCTCTCAAAAATGTTCTGTGTCACTGGCGAACGCCTTGCTCTCAATTCGCAGTTTCACTTCTGCAAGTTTGTTCTGCTGCAGAAGGTCCGAAGTAATTTAGTTTGCACTTTCTACTGGTACAAAGGAGCTGCCAATAGAGAAACTGGTTTCCAACATCGAACCTCTGTTTGAAGTGGCGTTAACGTGTGCACGTGCGTTGTGTATGCAGAAATTCCGCTTTCAATTCATTTAGCGGATGCTATCTCTGTGTGCTTACCTTCTGAGTGCCAGAAGAATGTCCTTTATAGCATTTAGCAGCGGCAGTTGCCGGCTGGTGAACTCTAATGTCGATACTAGCTTATTTCACAGCAAACCGAAGCTGTTACTATGGGGTTGCCATGGGTTACTATGGGTTGCTATGGGGTTGCTATGGTGATTGTGGTAACAATTGCCGTATTCTGGACTATTGTGAACTTTGATAAGTATTTTGTTGATCCATAAACGGTTGTTGGTGTTTGTGAGAGCCGTGTGTTTGAAAATGCCACTCTGATGTTTTGTAACTATATCCACTGATAACACTTTGGGGATGCTGTTGATACCACAAATTGTATTGCTTTCGCCTCATGCAATTGCCTCTCTTCAACCCTTCATATCTCACTTGTGTCTTTGTGGATTTCAATGAAATTTTGTGTGTGACCTCGTGATACCCACCACTGTCGATTTACGATGCTAAACCTGGGAGAAACCCGACTTGAAAAAACCGGCTGAAGTGCCTAGTACTAGACATGACAGTCGTGACTGGAGGGCCTCGTGACTTTTATCCAGTTTTTGTTTGTTTGGCACACACAAAACTAATCACTTGACAAAAAGTTTCGAAGCTGAAAGACGTCGTTGATCATGTTGATACTGAGCTAGCCGCAGTAGCCGGTCGAACAGCTGATCGTATCGGAGTCGTCGCTTGAGCGCGCCCAAGCCAGCATGGCACGTGAGTCTGTGTGGCACACGACGGGTGGTGTAGCTAGCTGGTGTTGACCATGGTTGACAGTTCGACAGCCCCGGCCGGGCCCATGCCATGGCCCAGGGCCTAGTACTAGTAGTAGTAGGGATTATGCAAAATGACTCGAATGTTTTTATATCGGCACGAGAAAAAGGGCATTATTATTGAGTCTACTGCAGTAAAACCTGGTTCACCACGGTGCAAGCAAAAGCGGTCGTGAAAGCCAGGTGCCTGAGGTGGTCTTTAGTCTAGAACCAGGTCCCACAGTGTCTGTGTAGAACAGTACTGTCGCCGCGTCGGTGCATGGAAAGACGGTCGTTAGGAGCAGGTGGTCGCTAAACCCAGAGGTTGCTTATACCAGGTTTTACTGTACCAGTATACATGTACTGTACAATGAGTCATGACCAATACTGGCAATAGTAATATCGTGTGCCGCGAGTAATGGCTAAAATACAGGAACAGCTACCACGCTGCGGACCAGGTCCAGGGGAAATAAACAGGTCACAGACTGAGTAGATATACATGTAGACATGATCTGACAGAAGAGTGCATCATGCACAGGCAGCCCCCCTGGCCGAAGTGGGCATTCTGGGGGCAGCGTGTGACATGCGGCCCACACAGAAGCAAGTCACATTGAACAGGCCCATCGCACCGACTTTGGAGGTCGGGCGGCCTTGGAAGGGGGGTCCGGGGTCCTCCCCGCGGGAAAATTTTCAAAAATTGAAGCCAATTGCAAGCATTTCCGGGCATTTGGTGCCATTTCAGTGTAACTACAATGAAAGACTTTTTGATTCTGCAACAAACCAAGAAGACGCTACGATCGGGGACATGGGTTCTTCATTATCTTCCCACGGGAAAAATTTCAAAAATTGAAGCCAATTTGCAAGCTTTTCCAGGCATTTGGTGCCATCTCAGTGTGTTGTGAGTGCAATGAAAGACTTTTTTGATTCTGCAATAAACCACGATCGGGGACAAGGATTCTTCATTATTTGCCACGTTTGGGCTGAGCTGCGATCATGCATGGAGTGTGCTCCAAAAAAAAAAAAAAAAAATGGCCGAAAAAGTGGGGCGGCCTCAGCCGCCCCAGCTGTGACAGCCTTGAGTAAGTTTGCATGGCACCCTGCAATGCCCATCCAGTGCTCTTGCTCAATGCTGTACTAGTATGCGTTCCTGTTTGAAAGAATGACATCCTGCTCCATCTCTTCAAGTTCTTGGGACCATGGCAAGGCGGTGGGCTGTCAACTTGCCAAAAAGACAACACGTGAGGAAACAAGCATCCTTCATACCGCCATCTGTCCAACTTCAAGCCATTTCAAACGGTGTTGCCGAGGTACCGGCGTGATGTCAATATCAACCCTGCCAGCACCCCTAGACCCCCCCCCCCCCCCCCCCACACACACACACCGTGCACCAAACTACAGTGCTGGCAACTGAAATCCGACCCCCTGGGCGCCGCACCGCGCTGCCCAGGGGGTCGGATTTCAGTTGTCAGCACTGTACATGTAATGATGTATATGCCTGTCGCGAGAGAAGCACGCAAGTCTGCAATGCACTGGATGCGCACCCGTAGATATTCTCTTATGCACATATGCACACACACGCGCGCCCACACACACACACATGTTCCCAAAGCCGCTACGAAACGCAGTAATTGAAAATACAACCAAGAAATACGCTGATGAAAGGGTCTCACCCCGACTTGACTCAAGACAACCAGGAAAGAACATAACGGTGTCATGATGGAATAACCAGATAATCCCAACCCGCTAGTACCGGTATGCACGCATACAAACAAAGTGTAGTGCAGCCATCGAAAAACTAGACGGATAAATTTCACGTAACAAACGTCAAGAAAGAGGACCATATTGGTATTCTAGGAAACCACCTTTCATCGTAAGAAAAGTAATGTGAGCATGATACGAAAAGGAACACTTTCCCTAAGAAATGTCTGGCATGTGTTCCTCTGCCTCTGGCCAGGGAAATCGTCCCGAGAATGCATTCGACCGGCGAACAGGGCTACTGCTTGACACTGCAGGACTGCAGCCGTTGTGGAGATTCGAAAACAACAAACTGGTCTCAGAGAGGCTTACAAGAGACAGAACACAAGTAATGCGCACCGGGCAGCAGGATGCGGGTATGTTGCCGTAGAGCTCAATGACGTGGCCAAGAGCCCACTGAGACAAGCGGTGACTACTGAATCATATCAATACATGCACCCACTGCATACCCGTGCACGGGTGAACGGATGGCACCACTCAGATGGCCTCATGAATCATGACGACATCACCCAGGTGGCCTCATGAATCATGATGACATCACTCAGGTGGCCTCATGAAACACGATGACATCACTCCGGTGGTCTCGTGAATCATGATGCACCAGTACAAGACGTGGTGTGATCCAAAGGAATCCCTGATGTCACCAACATCCATACCGTGTCCTCAGGGCAGCACTGGTAAAATGCTCCAAACAGCCTTCCACGCAACATGCTCATGGCCGGAAGTTGGCCAGCCTCACTTTACGCTGGTGCAAATGTCTATTCCGTGATGGACCGCATCTCCAGGATATTAGTTAGTTGATACGTGACCTGTATCCACACACAGCGACACACACACATGCACGTGCGCGCATGCATGGACACACACCGACAAACACACCGACACACACACACACAGAGCAGATTACAAAACAAGTACGAGAGGATTAGTCTGTGCATTGCTGAAAGCCGCACGTGTACCGGTGTGAGGTAATGCTGTGAGCAGATTGAAATACCTCAGCGCAAGTCTGCAAGTCACTACACAGTCATGGTGTCATCACAGTGCTACACAGTCATGGTGTCATCACAGTGCTACACACCTCATCACGTGGCTTCGGTGCTTGCTTGGGCGTGTCCGCTATTTCACCATCCTCTTCACTGTCCGAATAAACCACTTCAAACTTGCCTGGCTCAGCTTCCTCATCTATGATCACAACACAAACAACATACGATAAAAAAGTCGGCGTGGAGACAAGAAACCTGTTATAGATAGAAATAATGTGTGCGCACTCATACCATGACACCAGAGGAATTATGTAGGGATTTTAGTGTCGTCGTCTGATGATAGTCACATGAAACCGCCGTTAAAATCCCTACATAATTGTTCCCCTGGTGTCGTGGTATGAGTGCATACACATTATTTCTACGTGTAACATACAATCAGTTACACACCACATGTTTCAAGTAGGGAAATTGTGAAATGCAAATCCTACACATGCATCCACTACAATACAATATGCCCATCCAGAGATGATATCAGGGCCCAAATGGACCAACAGTGTTCAAGTCACGAGCAGAATCGGGAGTCGCAAGTCATACGTGTGCGCGCACACACACACACACACACACACACACACACACACACACACACACACCATGTACCACACACCATGTACCACACACCATGTACCACACACCATGTACCACACACCATGTACCACACACACACACACACACACACACACACACACACACACACACACACACACACACACACACACACACACACACACACACACACACACACACACACACACACACACACACACACACACACACACACACACACACACACACACACACACACACACACACACACACACACACACACACACACACACACACACACACACACACACACACACACACACACACACACACACACACACACACACACACACACACACACACACACACACACACACACACACACACACACACACACACACACACACACACACACACACACACACACACACACACACACACACACACACACACACACACACACACACACACACACATGTATGCACACGTACACACGCACACACACATATACACACATATATACACACACCACACATACCTGGAGGTGGAGGCACAAACTCTGGACGTAACTTCACTGTAAATGAGCTGTCATCGGCGTCAACAGACAGCACACGTCCCTCCTGTGAAAGTACAACAAACAGCACCAAGTACACAACATTGAAACAACAAATTCAGAGCACCAGGAAGGTTGGACGAGCAATGCCATCTTTGCAATAACCCGTAACCAGACAAGCTACGACGTAAGGATCAAAGTGAGTCTTCTTGTTCTGTTCTCCCCGAACATAATACAATGGACCCACTGTTGGCATTCTGGAGTGCTACAAAGTACAAACTAATTGAGGGAAAGGGGAGGCAGTGAACGGTGGCAGTGAAACCAGACAAACCCAGTAGAGTGAAGCAATGCGTTAACTGCTAGCGTAAATATCCTGCAAGACCACACAGCACTCCCTATCGTTACTGGCCTCTCACCTTGAAATCAGATATCTCTGGGCTATACGTTGCTGAGAGTTCCAGTACCTGGAATGCATGTGTACATGCAACACAGTAAGGACGGAAGAGAGAGAGAGAGAGAGAGAGAGAGAGAGAGAGAGAGAGAGAGAGAGAGAGAGAGAGAGAGAGAGAGAGAGAGAGAGAGAGAAGAGAGAGAGAGAGAGAAAGAGAGAAAGAGAGAGAGAGAGAGAGAGAGAGAGAGAGAGAGAGAGAGAGAGAGAGAGAGAGAGAGAGAGAGAGAGAGAGAGAGAGAGAGAGAGAGAGAGAGAAAAGAGCACGTACACTATGTAGCTAACACACAAGCAACGAGTTGTGACAGAAGTGCGAGGGATGTAACATAACATGACTGCACTCATCGATCAAATAGTGTGCTGGGCATGATGGTTGTATACCCGTGCATCTGCGACATACACAATCATGCAGTATTAGGGTGGGTTGGATTATGCTCTCCCAGCACAATGATGAACAGTGCATACATCCAGAACAGGCGCACACCAGTCGAGCAGTGATGATCATTCGGGCCACTTGACCGCTTGCAGATTACCGTCACAATGCATACTAGTCATGTATGTTTGGTGTTTGGTGGGACACACCACTGATTCATGCACTGCAAGGTACATAAACCTATCCATATTCGGAAACCAAAGGCATACCAATGGGAAAGTCAAAGTACTTTAGCTGCTCCAGGCGCACCAAGGCTGGAGCATCCAGAACATGTTTGGAGTGCATGAGTACAAGAACAAATCGAACAGTTGTGTTCCAAAAGATATACCGTATGTCCGCACCTTTAAAGCCATGGCGGTATACTCGATTATAAAGCCAGTCTCAGTTGTAAAGCCATGGCTTCAAACTTCCAGCCCAGCAGAAAGGGTGAACAAGTGGATGTAGATTGAAATTTCAGTGTGTACTTTGACTTTTACAGCATGGCGTAGCGGGTGAGTCATCTAAAATAGCTAGGAAAGCAGTAGTGTTTCGAATATAAGGCCATGGCTTTAAAGGCGCTGACATACAGTAAGTTTCACAGTAGCTGAAAAACCAGTATGGTACGGAGAAACGGTGAACTCACCTTGAACGCAATGCTGCAGCCAACCTGTGGAAGACCCTTCACGAGTGGGCATTGTGTGTAGTCACGCAGCGACGATACTGTCCCTGACGCTGCAATGGGTGCTGGCGTGAAGCTGGGAGCCGGTGCGGATGCAGAAGAGGAACAGCTACTAGTAGTAGAAGTGCATGCAGGAGAAATGTTGTTGGGCGAAAGGGACGGCTGACTTGACGATGATGCAGCGGGGGACGTTCCCAGCCTAGGCGAGGACGATGCAGCCACTGCCGCCGATGCTGCTGCTGAAGGTTTGCTAGCCGGCGGCGTACCAGTGGTTGAAATCTGCGATTTAGTGCTGAGAGCTGCAGTCCAAGCAGCGGCGGCTGCAGCAAGCGATTGCATCTCTGCAGACTGATCCAGTATTTGACTGTTGTAGGAGAGAACGTCGCGCGGGCCGCCAGTCACCGAGCCTCTTCCGCGTCCACGGCCACGATGACCCGAGTTACCCCCTCTGCCACCACGCTGCTGGTAGCCTCCACCGCCACCGCCCCGGCCACCACCTCCCCAGGCGCCATTTTGATTGTTGAAGTCGCCGTAGCCACCGGCGTGTGGTGAGCTGCCAACAGATCGTGATCCAGCACCAGCACCATTGCCACCGCGGCTCCTACCACGTCCTCGTCCAGGGCTGGTAGTAGTCGACGACGACGATGGTGAAGACGTCCTATGGCTGTTGCCATTGCTGTTACTGGCCGGCAGTGGGGGAACGGCGCAGAACTGTCGATTAGCGCTGGCAGAGCCACCACCCCTGCCACTGCCGCTAGAGTCTGCAGTGCGACTATGCGGCGTGCTGGTAGCACTGGTGGACACGACAGCAGCAGCACTGGTACTGCCGTTACCTACAGCTGCATTGCTGTCTGCATCGTCTTCATCGTCAGAGCCAAACACTATGTGATTGCCAGCGCTATTGCTCACCACAGGTCGCTTGCTACTGCTACCGTGACCATTGCTTACTTGCTTTTGCTGCGGCAGCTGCTTGGACTGTTGCGGCTGCTTTTGTTGACGTAGAGATGGCTGACTTTGCTGCTGCTGCTGTTGCTTGCTGTGACCAGGTTTTCCTTGCTGTTTACCTGCTTTCTGCTGCTCTGAATTCTTGAGTTGCTTGTTTGCACTAGAATCACTCTGTGCAGCTTGAATTTTAGGCTTGGCGGCGGTTTTCTTCTCAGTTGCTTTGGCGGCCGACGCTGAGGCTTTACTCTGCGCGGCACTGACATCTTTCTTGGCGCTGCCTTTTGCGACCGACGTTGCCACTGGCCGTGATTTGCGCTTAGACGCTGGTGTCGGTGAGCTACTACTACTACTGCTGCTGCTGCTGCTGTCACTGTCCAAGTCTTCACTATCTGACGAGGACGATGATGATGACGAGTCACTGTGTGGTGCTACTGGAGCGGATGATGCCGACTTGCTGCTGTTCCCCTTTCGTCTTTTTGGCGTTGAAGTGGACGTCTGGTGAGTCGCTGATCGCTTGATGGACTTCTTGCCGGCTTGCGATGACGGGCTAACATCGTCGACGGAAGTAGACTTGCGTTTTCTGGATTCTACACACACAGAGATACACAAACACACACATACACACACACAAAGATACGCACACAGACACACGCACACATACAGCAGAAAAATATCAGTGGCAGGACACCAAGTATACATGTAAATACACGCAGATGGAATTTTTCGTTTGCAGCTAGTTTACTGTTTCATCCTGATGGAGGGCTAGCCCCGAAAATTTGGTGAACTCTTTCATTTTATTTTCAAGTGACGTTTCCAGCGAAGAGACCGCATTGAGTTCTTGAACTGAGGAAACCGTAATGTCCCGAAGACAACGTTCAAAGTTCACAAGCCAAAATTGGACAGGGGGGGGGGGGGGGGGGGGGGGGTGCGGCTTATACTCCGATGATCAAATTAACAGTGATAAAAAGAGTAGATGTCTGTATTTCGTGGCAAAAATGGGGGAAGTCTAATATACTCCAGTGCAGCTTGTAATCTGGAAAATACAGTACACAACAATCAAAGCTGAAGGCTGCTGCAGAGGAGGAAGGGATCTAAAACGTACCTGACTGAGTGCTGAAGCCAACAATCGGTGTATAGGACACTCTGCAAAGAACACAGAACAGAACAGAACATGTAACACTCGCTCAGTTGTTGGGGATCAACAACATACTTGTATAGCAGATGGCCCTTGTATCCAGGTACTGTAATTGCCTTAAAAGTAGACTCCGTCTGAAGTGCAATGGTAAGCTAGAAGGGTAAAGCGGTTTGAGAAGCAAACAACCTAACATAATTTTCTACTGTATAATATAGAATAGGCAAGAACCCTCTTTTTTCGTTAACTGTGTGTGCTTTTTGTGTTACTACTGTAAAACATGTAATTTTAGGTGTATTAAAATTTCGGTGTCAGGGACCTGCCAGGTTTCAGGTGTAATTTAGAATTAGGTGACCAGCATTCCCTGCACATACAGTGCGTACTCTGGTGCCTTTTAGGTGTAATCTTAATTTAGGTGCTTGTTTTCTCTACCGAAATCACCTAAATTAAAGTTACACCGAAAATATCGTGTTTTACAGTACCTAAAACCAGTAGAAACTCAACTTTGAGAAAACGTTTGAAAGAAACCCTTTTTGCCCTCGCTGCTCGCAACCATAATCCAGCTGGCACTTACAGAAAATGATCAAGTACTTGTAGAAATCACCTGGTGGTGCTGATGATGCAACTCCAGCCGTGCCCAATGAAATCTAGGACCGTGGATAATTCAGCGGCCAGCAGCAGCAGTGCACAGCCCAGTGTGCACAAGCCTGGGGCTGCACAACGTCCAGTGCTAGCCGACTCACGCTGTACGTGAATACCATTGGGTAGCACTGCAGATGTTACACGCACGCCCAGGCCTAGATCTCTATTGGTACTAATTAATTATTTAGCTACGTACATTAAGACACATTACTGAGGTTCTACTCTGCATGAGGGGAATACAACGTGAAGACTTGAGTAACTGCATTGTCGGACGTATCGCAAAGCCAAAGCCAAGGAGTAATTTTACTGGGAATCTCCTGTTCCAAGTTCGATAGTTTTGTGAAGGTCTTCTGTCCCAATTCGGGCAATGTGCACCAGATAAACATGCATGCAATTGCATGTAACACAGCATGAAGATCTGCATCGCTGTGAATAAACTCGTAAGGCCACACGTTTTTATTTCTATGTTTCTTGTCACCCGAAAATCTAAAATCGTATGCGAGAGATGGAAAAAATAATAAAAAATGACTGAAAAATTATAAAAAAAGTTTACTAGACCTTTGGTCATACTAAAATCGATCAATACACCGTGTAAAGTAGTACGTCGTACCGGTATACCGGTAGGAGCTTCTGTGCACGTGCAGCTAGATTGCGCAACAAAAACTGCAACGCTAGCGACCTCGCATCATGTGTCGCGCAGGCCAGGCCATGCGCAAGCGGTAGGGTGCAAATAATATGTGCATGTGCTGGTCCGCGTCCCACACAGTGCAGCACAGTTTTTTTCTTCCAGACTCCTGAATCGTAAGCGCGCGGGTGACGAGAAACATAGAAATAAAAACTTGTGGCCTAACAGGCCCCAAAACATGTGAAGACTCTAACCCAGACACATGTTCTTTGCATGATTTCTCCACGGTTCACGTGAACCAGAACATCTCTACTTTCTAACGCTGAGAGCCCAAGATTAGTAGTAGAACAGTAGAAGTCTACTACTGGATAGATACCGGAAAAGAGAGTGTACATGTACATGAACTTAGAACATGGTTCTACAGGACAGTGTATACCACACATCATCCCATCCTGTAGTATACTCCAGTCCACACACTGATGCACCATATCAACATACTGCCAATACTGTACAGTGAAACCTGTCTAAGGCGACCACCCAAGGGACGAGAAAAAGTGGTCGCCGTGGCCAGGTGGTTCTTCTTATCCAGGTTCAGTGGGTCACGTGACCATATCCACGTCACAATACATGCGATACATCATTTGATCAGTGTATCACATGCACAGTGCACACACCTACAGTCCATTCATCGGAAACTTGCCCGCTGGCTTTTGAAAGTCGGATTTGGGCCGAATTGAGGATCAAAAACCCACTTTAAATCTCAAAAATCTGGGTTTGGGATCTGCTTCTCCATACATTTTGCCATGGCATACCTGTCCTAATTTTGTAAAACCTGGCTGAATTTCTATTTCCCTGTTCTTGGACTTTTCTGGCCTCAAATGTGGCAAGGAGTAATTGCACGGGTCACACAATGCAGGATGTACTGTTGTTTTCACGATATCTAGTACAACTATGTGAGAGAGACACCAAAAAGTTAGGGTGCCAGTTTCCAATAAATGGACCGCATGCTACTCTAGCACGACTCACGACTCCTATATATAGGTTTTTTTCTTCAATAATCATGATCATGCTACCGCCTGGAATAAGTTGTGCGCCTGAATTGTATTGTAAGGTGTTAGGGCAGCATCAGTTGGCTCTTTTCAGAAGTTTTCTTCAAGACTGCCAGAATTATCACTTGGTTGATAGGGACGTTTTAGGGAGGACATTTCGGTGTTTTAACAGATCCTATACTGTAAAACCGGAAAGTTTAACGACCAAAGGGTTTGACGTTTTTGTAATTTTGGCATGATAACGTGCAGAAAGTTTAACGACGGCTACCTGGCCACCCATCTGTATGCGCATCTTTACACAGACATCTCAAACCGGGTTTGCGATAACGTTTCCTCAAATAACGAAAAATATTAATTGGTTGTTAAAAAGTTAGACTTTGTGACTCGTTGGACAGGGGCGTCGGAAGGTATTTTAGTGTGGTACGGTCAATCATCTGAAGTACAATTTACTCGTGAGGGAGTGGTGGCTGAGCTGAAAATTTTGGAAATTTAGAGCCTAGATCAGTGTATTTTATTGATTCACGGGGTACTTGGGGCAAAGAGTGGTACGGTCAATACCGTAGTAACCGTACCGTGTGCGACGCCCCTGTTAGACTTTCCGGTTTTACAGTATAATACATGTAGGATTTGAGAGTTCTGCAATATCTAGAGTGTTGTAATGGATGCAGATGATGATAGAACTGGCACGGAAAGTGATAATAGAAGTGCTTGGTACCGTAGTTCCGCGCATATAAGCCCACGGGCCTATATCCGGATATAAGCCCACCTCCGTGTATAGGCCCATGGGCTAATAAACAGACCCAAACACCGTTACGGAACCGATAGTACAGCGTGTCAGTGCAGACTACATTACCAGTACCGGTACCTACGGTAGGCGGACAACCGCGCACGGACTTGTAGTACTTTTTCGCGTGCCAGCTGCCTTCAAAATTCGAATATAGGCCCAGGGCTAAAAAAACGAACCATTATTACTGATTTTTTTCCCGGAAAATGCATTATTTTGTATATTAGCCCATGGGCTTATATGCGCGGAACTACGGTATGCTAAATAAGCACAAAGACACCATGAATAGATGTCTGTGATTGATTGAGGAGTTGGCACATCTGGTGCTTTTAACCGTACGACGGCGGAAGTTTCGCCTGGAAAATGGGCCAATCGGCTTGAAATTCTTACCGGAGTGTAATCACTATGGAAGCCAGTTCCAAACGCCTCGTGAAACTCATTTCATCAATTTGTATACGGTTGTATAGATTGTCTATCAAAATCCTTTAGCCAGAAACCAAATCCTATAATTATAAAAGGATTTGCTGGTGACAGTTCAAAGAGACAAAAAAATTGAAAAAGATCGTTCTTTACTGGCTAATATGAAAGACCGTCCCTGGAATTCTCACCGCCATGATCATTTCGTGAAATGTACTGTGCTCAGAGAGATAAGTTCAATTGGCAGAATTCAGTCGTACAATAATGGGATCAGCGGATACACACATACTACTTACTGGACAATATCATCATCTCTCAGTATCTTAACGTCGTCTCCCGGCAGCAAGCTGTACTCTCCCAAACTTAAATTCACACTGCGACATGGCAACTCAAAGTCTTTTGCCAACAAATGTGACAAATCCGCAACCACCCTGCATATTTTCGGATCCAGTAAAAAGCAGCAACGCTGAGGAACGCGGTGTGGTGGAGGGTCGAAGTCCAAACGAAGTCGAACAAGTTTGTCCATAGTGAAACTCCTTTCTAATGGCACAACGCGTGAGAGTCCACACACCAATGGAGGTCTCCAGAATCTCTGCAAAGTACTTCAAAAACAGTGAACGAAATGAGAAGCACGACAAAAATGAGAAAAACTTTGACGCACTCACGTGGGGAAATCCCGATCCCCGGCCCAGCTCATGATCAGAGGCCGCGCGGGGGGCCGGGGGGGGGGGATCCATATCCATATCCGGGCGCCACGGCGTCGCGTCAGCGACTCGTTGCACGCGGTTTATGTAGCGCGGCCACTCTCGATCTCAACGTCGACAACGACTCGAGTCAAGTAGATAGCGCGTAACCTGCTCGTAAAAACCGACGCCCAGCGCGCGGCCTGCGGTACTTGTTGTGGCGTTTGTGGATCGAGTCTAGCAGCGCGCGCAACTGCATGCTACCGGTCACGAAGTAGCATGCTCTGCATTCGATATTCGCGCCACGCATGTGCATTTTCAAACCGGTTCTGATCGTGATGCATAATCCACAATCAACCGGTTCACAGTGGATCAGACAAGATTTTCACAGAAACTCACATCATCCTTTTTATGTTGTTGCTTTGAGCGATCGTGTGCTTTCCCTCATTTGAGGTTATTCCGGATAGTTCTTTACGTTCTCTCGCTGTTCTTGCTCTTTACTTGCAACTATGGCTGACCAGGAAACGGCTGTGAGCTTCAAAGTAAGGAACTCTGTAATATGCAATGTCGTGTAGACTTTGCCGTAGCTCTGTAGACTAAGCTCTTGATCGATCAATCTGCAATGTGAGAATTGTTCTCACCGTTTTTTGCGCTTTTTGTGTGCCCGCTTGTGTATGTGCGTGCGTGAATGCACATGTGTGTTTGTGTGTGGTTTTTGCAGTGTGTTCTTGTGGGTGATGGTGGTACTGGCAAGACCACCTTTGTCAAGCGCCATTTGACTGGCGAATTTGAGAAGAAATATGTCGGTGAGCTCATACCTCCCTCTCCACGCTTTTTGCAATTCTTGAAATTGTCACAATCTTTCATTTTTTTTTCGTGCTCGCTTCAAAGATCTAGAAATGTTATGAAATGGCGACATGTCCAACTAAGTAGATCCTGATTTCGAGTCTCAATGAAAGGCGATCCGTTGCAAGCTCGTTATGTAGAACGTATATGCTCTAGATTGTCGCATTGAAACTAGTACTACATGTAGTACTCCAACCTGTTTCTTTTATTTACAAACATTGATTGGGAAACTGTGGATTACGATACTAATTTTATATATCGCCAAGAAGTCGCGCAGACTGTAGACTGGTGAATCGAAAATATGCATTGATCTCTAGCTCAGGCATGGTTTTACAGAGACAGGCGAAGTACATTCATACACGCACTTCCATACCTGTTGCAAGATTGTAATAATTATGTAGTCAGCTGGTTGTGCACACCACTACAGTACTGTCAGTAGTCGTGATGGGAAATTTGCACATTACTCATTCGTATTAATTACATCCGACATAACTGGGGCTGAATGACATCACGTGTGTATTTTCTTCCGGAATTCCTGCTCTACGTGATTGTACATGTACTTGACATTGTGCCTTTTGTAGGCAGTGCAGTGCGTTCCTCAGGCTCAGGACTAGTCTTCTGTCACTTCCTAGATCTGGTCATGGCACACAGCATGAGCCATGCACTCACACACCACACCCTAGCCTAGGGTAGCATACATGTCTGAGTGTCTACCTCAGCAGTGGTGGTTTCCATCAGTGCACCCCTATCTCTAAGTCTCGATACAATGTCACATTGTGCGTCTCAAAGTAACAACCTTGCAGTGATGCTAGGGAGGTTTCGCTCTACGGAAATACGTATGAAAATAACGTAGGAACTGCGCGTAATTTTCGTACGTAAAAAATCAGCGCTGTTGGGTTTCGTTCTACGTGATTTCTCCACGACTGCCAAGCATGCATTGTTGCTTTGGAGACTGTTTGGCTGCATGCACCACGAACCGAAGCCGCGTTTTCCATTTTGTGTGTACCTTGTGTTTTGCGCGGCTTGAACGGTGCCATGGATAAATCCGGAAAGTGCAAAAAATATTTCAAAAAGTCCTACGGAGGACCCAACGTAGCAAGCAGCTTTCCTATGGAAATCCGTAGAGAGATTTACGTATGAAAGTTGCCCTCGCTACCCGGCGCGTACGACATACGGATTATCATACGTAATTATATAGAGCAAAACCTCCTTGTTTCTCTCCCGGCTTCAATTTTGTTTGTCTGTTATTGTCTTTAATGTGTATGTGTGTGTAGCTACTCTTGGCGTGGAAGTTCATCCACTCGACTTCTGCACAAACCGTGGCAAGATCTGCTTTAACGTATGGGACACAGCAGGTCAGGAGAAGTTTGGCGGCCTCCGCGATGGCTACTACATCCAGGCCCACTGCGCTATCATCATGTTTGACGTGACGTCACGTATCACCTACAAGAACGTGCCCAACTGGCATCGTGACCTGGTCCGCGTGTGTGAAAACGTGCCCATCGTACTGTGCGGAAACAAGGTGGATATCAAGGACCGTAAGGTCAAGGCCAGAAGTATTGTCTTCCATCGCAAGAAGAATCTGCAGGTGAGCTACTTCCTTCATTTGTCAGTGACAATTCAAGTCCTTCAAACCACCATCTCACCACATTCTTGCTCTGTTTTAGGTTGATACCAAGAGTGCCTGAACAAGAGTGTGCAACTCTGCTGCCGATATGGCTCATGGTGGAATGTTGTTGATGTCGAGTGTCTTCCCTCGCTCCTGTATATTTTTGTTCACGATCTGCATTGCGTTGCAGCATGTGCTGATAGTTTTGTACCTTCGAAACCTTACTTTTTCCTTCCGGGGTGGATGTTTCGCTTGTAGTTTTAGGAAAACAGCCTGCGACACTCATGGTTGGCTATAACAGATCAGTTTTCCAAGTCGTGAAGCCCACCTCTGTGCATGATAACTGTACGAATCTCTGGCATCAACAAGAACTATCGGCTGTGGGCACACTGAGGGGAGTTGTACCCTCTGGTGTGTGTGTGTACTCTTACTGGCAGTGATGCCTGTTACCATTCTTCTTCTACCCGTGTGCATCATGCGTTCCTTCCTTTCGCTTCATCTCTCTCTCTCTCTCTCTCTCTCTCTCTCTCTCTCTCTCTCTCTCTCTCTCTCTGTTTTTGACACACAGTACTATGACGTGAGCGCAAAGTCCAACTACAACTTTGAGAAGCCCTTCCTGTGGCTGGCACGGAAGCTCGTCGGTGACCCCAACCTGGAGCTGGTTGCCATGCCTGCCACAGCGCCTCCGGAGATCACCATGGACCCATCGATGGTAGCCAAGTATGAGGCGGATCTGATGCAGGCTGAACAGACAGCGCTACCCGACGACGACGATGACTTGTAAATGCATTTTTAACTCACAGGCAATAGAACACCGAAATAGAAAAGGCCGTCATTGCCATGGCAATTCAACTACAATTGCTTCTTCTGTATCCGTTTCCGCTGGCATGCATGTGCAGTCCTGCCCTTATAACAATACAGTCGACCTAACCTTATAACGATATTTGCGTCAGACCAAGAAATAGAGGTAAGCCATTGTATACAAGAGTCAATGGAGTGATTTGGTTTGGCAGAAAAATATCGTTATAGAGGTTATCGTTGTAAGGGTAGGTCGACTGTATTGGCATCAAGCCAAGAAATAGCGTTATAAGACCCACCTGGACAGTGGACTCTGCATATTCTCTGCTTGTACAGCCGTGGCCACAGAAATCCAACCCACGTGCCGAAAGCAGCGCCAAGGCTCGTGCTGCCCTCGGATCGGCGGATTTCTTTGGCCACAGCTGTAGTTATTCTTGCTCCGTTGACTCAACTACAATTGCTTCTGTATCCATTTCCACTAACGTGCATATGCTGTCGACTTGCCCTTATAACGATATTTCCATCAAACCATGACATTTCGTTATAAGTCCTGCCTAGCGCCTGGGCAGTGAATTCTGCATACTCTGCTTGTAGTGTTTGTTACTTCATTCAAATATAATTTATAAGAACAAAAATGGAAAACGTCGGCTGGTCAACCTATTAATTTTTGAATGGGAACTGGGGTAATGTAAGACAGTAAAAGCAATATTGCTTTTGGAATTCCAAGACGTTCTTTGAAACAATTCGACTGGGTCTTATGCACGCGCCACATACATTATGGTATAGACCTTATTCGATAACGTGATCTTTGGACTCGCCTCCAGGGATTTGTCGTAAGCTGGGGCACGCGTACGTGAAACGAGTGGCAAGAAAGGCCCAGTTCGTACAAGGGAGTAGTAAAATACCAGTATGCTTCCTACTCCTATGTTCCCACGCCGAGTCCACTGTGCACTGAGTGCAGGTCTCTTGCCAATCCCTGGTTCCCGGGACCCCGGTTCAAGTGATTGTGACGTTTATCGAATAAGGTCTATATACAGAACTAGAAGCCTTGCTTGGTAGTTTAACATGTTTTTCGATTTTGACAGCATGTTACAAGGCGAGGACGCATAGTGCTCCTGACTACAACCATAACCCGGTTACTGCGGCGGCAACACAACGACTTCTACAACACAAAAAAACGAAAATTTCTAAATCCTACCAACCCCTAGAGAAACGAGGGTCCGAACCTGGGTTTTCCCAATACGGTTCAAATGGTCGCAAGACCGGGACTCTGCCAACCGGGTTATGGTTGTAGTCAGGAGGACTATGCGTCCTCGCCTTGTAACATGCTGTCAAAATCGAAAAACACATGTAGCGCGGGACCTGCAAGAATAGAAACAATTCAACAGGGCATTCTTCGGCACGCAGCTGTACTGTACTACCTGGTGTGGTAGCTCTTCTTCCAGTGCCGCTACAGCAGAGCTTCACATCACATGACATGGTTGGTTACCAAGAGTAATAAGCTCCCTGGTTTATGGTTACAATGGTAAACAGCGCAAAATAGCTGCCAGAGAGTTATGGCTTATGCCCGGACCAGCCTTGCGTAAATTTAATAAAGCGCGCTGCCTTCATCACGCTCTGAATTAGACTGAAAGCATGCATTCAAACTCACAATTTCTCGTACGAGCCCATCTGTTTTGCTCGATTCGTTCAAGTACCTACGCGATCTCTAAATTCTGGCGCGTGAACTCCAGTTCCGTACGAAAGTTCATTTCAAACCAGAGGAAAGGTGCGGTGTTTGATTTTCCGCAGTGCGCGGCTGACTGCAGCTGAATGATGTAATGAAGGCAGCGTGCCGCGCATCTGGCCAAAAAGAGATCACAGTTGCATACTAGACTCTAGTTTATGGACTCTTGCTATGATCCGCATCATAGTTGTGGTGTGTGTGTGTGTGGGGGGGGGGGGGGGGGGGGGGTTGTCTTTGGTGATGTGAAGTTCTGCTGTCAACATGCCATAAACACAGATAACTTGGAGTGCTTACATGATACTCACTAAACACAGCCGCAGAATCGCGCACATTTCTCCAAAAAGACAAGAGTCAAGAGTGGTGAAAGCCTAAAAGGTATCACCATGCTGTAGTACAATGTATGTTGCAGCGACGAACAGATCAACGTACAAACATGACGTTAACACATCAAAATCAGAGAATAGAAAATAGAAATAGACAGACTTGAGATTCAGCGTGATCGATATAAAAAAGGGGGGAGATCGAAACAGCAGTAGATTCACTCACACAGAACAAGTAAATAAATATTGTAACGTACGAAAAACAGGACTCCTAGCTCAGTAGTAATTTTCTAAGAGTGATCATTTCAATTTCAAGCACAGCGCTCCAGGGGAAATTGTTGTCAGTTTCAGTGAGTAATATTATCCAATTTCCGGATACGAGCGCGCTGTGCGTTTCATGACAGCCCAAAATTATGTATGTGAGAGTCCATGACAATCAAGCTCTGCCAGCAGAATACACAATGCGGATATGTTTTACCAGACAATCTCCGGGGAGATGGTCGATGACTTCTAAAAAGGTTCCACAGCGGGAGGCTGCAAGTATGTAAATGTACAATACAAGCCGAGTGAAAAAATAACCACTTCGGTCGTTTCGCAAGTACCACTGGTGCACAGGTCACACAAAGCCTCGACCAGCACACCGCCAAACAGAAAGAGAAAAAAAGAAAGAAAGACGAAAGGCAAGTGTGCAGTGGACGTAATGACCAAATGCAGCACTGCAAAGTCACACTACTCACCAATCACTATACTCTTGAGTCTTGGTGCACAAGACATACCACACACCACCGGTCCACAGGAGAATAGAAAATAATGAACACATGCTCAAACACTCGCGCACATTTGAGTTCCACTAGTCGGAGAGGATAGTACCAGTGCCCACACTGTACACATGTATGCCCAACCAAGATACATGCATACGTTTGCATGAATAGACTGTTGACAACCAAGACACATGCATACGTTTGCATGAATAGACTGTTGACAACCAAGACACATGCATACGTTTGGATGAATAGACTGTCGAGGTTTCGAGGTGGCGTGATCCGTACAGTGGTGGCACATACTGAAGCAGAGCAAACGATGAAACACAGAGAAGAGTGGACGACAGACCTTTGAGTGCCTAGAGAAGTTGAATTATTGGCACTGGTGCAGAGTTGAGAAGCTCAAGGTGATGGCACACGCACACCACCAGCAACGTGACTCACAGCCACAAGACTGTGCCAAGAGCAGCAGCACATGCCAGACTACACGACAGCGGTGACGAAGGAATTGAATTCAATTGATTCTAGTGATGATGATGATGATGATGAGGATGAGGATGATGATGATCTACAGGTCCGTTGAGATGACCGTACTGCAACCGTAGACCATGACAGTTGGTGGAAGTCCAGCTGTGGGCATAACACATTACACAAACACACGCACACACACGCGCACACACACGCGCGCGCGCGCGCGCACACACACACACACACACACACACACACATGGATCATCTCAAGCCCACACAGTAGTAACTCAGCAGTTGTGGTGCTTTGACAAGCAGGATTCGAAAAGTAAGATAACACCCGCCAGAGGGTCCTTTTCACTTCAAATCTTTCTGTGCTGTGCGATAGTGGGGTGGGGCGGAGGAGAGACAACAGTACAGTGCAGTACAGTGTGGCCCAGGGCCAATCAGCAATCCTACCATGTATCCCACCATTCCTTTGCTGTTTGCGTTATGCATAGCTCACTGACTTGACAGTTTGAGCACTCTGGCAAGGTGCGTTCGGGCCTGGTTTAAATCTGGCTTTTGGAAAATTTACTTTTCTTAGCTATTTGGTTCGGCCTCCTTTTCTCTGCGCTGCGCTGATGAGTCCACAAAGGACGAAACAGTTCTGCCCGCAGGTTGAGTATCCCACCATTCCTATAGTTTCCATCGATAGCAATGCAGGGCTGGATCAAGCATTCAAGTGAGCAGTAGGACACGTCCAACGCCCAGCAGTAGGACACGTCCAACGCCCAGCATGCAGAAGATAGTGAAGAGGCCATACCCGGATACCGTACCTGATAAAGATTCCATGTTCTCCATGAACGTAGTGATCTCAGCGCCGGCTGCGGGTGGAGGAGGCAGAACAGTAAATACAACAGCTGCATGCACACAAGCATAAGTGCACATGCACGTGCGCGCTCACACACACAAACACAAACGCGCACGCATGCACGCACACACACACACACACACACACACACACACACACACACACACACACACACACAAACACTGATTAGGTGTAATGTACCTGGACTGCACACCAGACCACATTGCGCGCATCATCAACATCGCCTCACAAATGCAGACATAGAGCTGATGATAATCATGAAAAGCGACGTACTCCTGATAATGACCGATCGTCACTGCACACTTTGGGGAGATACATACTTTGTTTGGTGAATACACACAGCCAGAAGATAATGAAGAGAGAGAGAGAGAGAGAGAGAGAGAGAGAGAGAGAGAGAGAGAGAGAGAGAGAGAGAGAGAGAGAGAGAGAGAGAGAGAGAGAGAGAGAGAGAGAGAGAGAGAGAGAGAGAGAGAGAGAGAGAGAGAGAGAGAGAGAGAGAGAGAGAGAGAGAGAGAGAGAGAGAGAGAGGGAAGAGAGAGTATGTCCTGCAATTGCACTTTTTGGCATCATACTGTCATCTAATTTGTAATTCACCCACTTTAGCTGCACACTATATTCTAGGCAGACACTGAAAGCTATAAGCCACAGAAAAAAGTGACCCAGGGGTATTGAAAGTGCAAGGCTAATTATTTGAACGATATCTCTACTGTGCCGCAAAGTGCAAAAATTAGGCCATGGCTAAAATAAGGTGTTGGATAGTGAATGCATCTATGCTTTCAGTCAGACGTGCAGTAGAGTGTACAGAGTTTACTACTCACATGCTGCTGAGGAATGTTGTTGCATCAACTCATTCATCTCCCGGTACCATGTCCGACTGTTGGCTGGGTGTGAGTGTGCTGGATCGAGGAACAGCTGTTGATTGCCACTCGGTGTAACCGGCTGTATCAACAATATGCACACAGATAGCAGCAGCAGCAGCAGCAGCAGCAGCAGTTATGACAAAGTGCTTGACACTGTCGTAGCTTTTCATACGGAGGCCAGTCCGTGTGAGGCGCACTCCGTGCGGAGAACGGTGTAAAACATATCCGTGTGAAACTTGATCTCGAACCCCGATGAGGATTCCATGCGTACCTGGTACGTTTTACCCTGTAGCAGAAACTCACTACTATTTTAATCACAATTTGTGGTTTTCTCGAATAAAGCTTTGAGTACGGTAAAAAAAGAAACAAAAGAAAAGAAACTCAGTACCAGAGTGTTTCCACATTGCACATAACACACTACGTGTCACACATGTCAGTGATCAATAACATCATGCACAAATCTCTGTAACAGCCGAGCACCAGCAACCACATACAAAGTAGTCAAGCCTAATGAAGATGGTTCGGGCCGTATGAAGATGGTTCGGCCTAATGAAAAGAAGATAGTGTATATTATGTAACTTGTACAGTTGATGGTCTGAAAAGCAAAGCGGTAGCTACCCCCCTCCCCCTCCCCCCCCCCCCCCCCCATGTAGCCAGTGTACAAATTGTAAACAGTAGCAGCAGCACACAGTTACAGGCAGTACCATGCACCGTGCATACTTGGCCCGCCAAGTTAAAATTGGCGCTTAACACTTTTCACTTGGTTTCTCGGTGTTCTGCCTGTGTCACATGGCATGGAACCACCGATTCACCATCCGAACATAACCATTGACCATTAGATCCGACGACATGGCAGCACAAACCATCACAGAAGTTGCGATCGGTTCGTTGGAGTCTTTTTGACGGAGCTGCCGCCGACGAACACTTCCGTCAGCGCAAGAAAACACTGCAACCTCCGCTCGAGTCTGTAAAATAGGTCAGGATGTTCGCATTTCAGAGCGATGGAGAATACAGTTTCTGTCTACTTCCAGCTGTCTGATGGCAAGGATTGTTTACCCCGGGGAGGTATAGAAAAGCTGAAAAGCGCTTCGCGAGTTTGAATTTCAGTGCTTGCACAGTACAGCGCCTAGTGAAGGGCTATCACCAGCAAATCGCTGACGAAGAAACTGCAGCTCAAGTCGACATCTCCAGAAAGTGAGACCAATCCGGCGGACACACTTTGAAGCTCACAGAGGACAGGGCAAAGGAACTAATCAAAATAAACACCAAGTCCTGAGGGAAACACTCGTGCAAAGGACTTTCAGGAAACTATCCGAACAGCCTGGCCTGGTGCACGGCGTAAGGACTTAGTCACTTAGGTACAGCAGTACGCACAGCCACAGGACCTGAGGACCTGCTACATCAAGCGGAAGCTATCACTGCGCTGCATGTACAAGCACCAGCGGCTCGCGTGGGTGCTGATCAGCAAGTACGACAAGCGCAAGAGGTGATATGAAAAAAGGACACTGATATGGCGTTGCCTTTTTGTCGCAAACAAAGTCGCGACGAACGTGGATAACACTTACAGCCAACAATACATGCGGGCAGTCTCACTCAGCTTCTGATCGGCAAGGTGAGAGGCACGCACTGCCTTTGAGCGTGATTCGAGGCGAGGAGAAGTGGAACGAGCTATGAAACGTGCAGCAGCTGTCCGGATCGCACGTTTTTGAGCTCTTCCTCCAGCGACGATCGTGGCGAGGAGGATGTGTAACTTGCTTGAATTTTCGACTGAGTTGCTTACTGACATGTAAATAATCATGTACATAGTGCTTTGTGATCGTGGCTTGCTTCAAATATTCGTATTTCCTTCCTGAGACAAGTGTGAAGATAAGCGCCAATTGTAACTGGGCGGACCAAGTACATACTCTAGCTCGCTGTGTGGATAACTCCGCCCGTTCTAAGAAACTGTTACCTCAATGCCTTGCTTTTTCACGCTAGTACTTATGCACCTATCCAATAGTCTATTATATTAATTATTCATATCTTTTTGCATCTTTCCCTCGAGTGGGTCTATTGTTATTAGGCAATTGTCTGTTATATTCGCTACTAGAAATAAAATCCAATCCAATATACAGGTACCATGCTACTGCACAGTAGCATGCACTGTGAGATCACACATTACCTGCACTTCTGCCTCAATTCTCAGCTTCTTCAGCAGATCTACCAGCGTTGTTCGTTCTCTTTCTGACGTATCTGATAGCGGGGATAGGAACCACAACACAACAAGGGATCGCACTCAGTACTAGTGTACCTGGCAAAAACCAGACTGTCCAACCTTGCCACCTTTCCAAAGCAGGACACCTATACAGTGAAACCTGTCTAAGGCGACCACCCAAGGGACGAGAAAAAGTGGTCACCTTGGCCAGGTGGTCTTCTTATCCAGGTTCAGTGGGTCATGTGACCACATTCACATAAAATGCATGTGACATATCATTTTGATCAGTGTATCACACTGCACACACCTATACTACTTTAGATGTTCTTGTATTTAAAATTGCCATAATTATGTACGTCAGACCAGCTGAGAATGTGGAAGTACATAAACATGCACACTGTATGTCGAAGAAATTTGCGGGCTTGTATACACAACACAGGTATGTTCTATGTACATGTATGTCAACACTAAAACCAGAGTAGTTTGCCGTGCTTCAGCTCCAGCACGTACCACCTGGGAACGTAGCATTTGGAGCAGCGTCGAAGAAGCTTGGTAAAGCTCTGTACCTCGTGGCTGCGTCGCAAGAAAAGCCGTTACGTCCTCCAGTGCATTCATAGCGTCACGGTGGGATTTCGTGAGCAGCTGGCCCTCTTCAGGTTCGTCATCATCATCATCATCATCATCACGCTCATCACCACCACCACTTGCACCTTCGCCGCTTTGCTCCAATGCTGCCAGGACGAGCTCTTCCTCCCAATTATCTCTCAGGGTTGCAAATGGCATGGTCTCGTCATCAAATGATGTGTATGCATCAGCAGTACAGCCACTTCTAACCTGGACAAGCAGAGATTGAAGGTCTGCCGAGTCACTGGATTCTGAAGAAGGCTCAGCGGTCTCATCCTCAGTAAGGTCAGATTCGGTGGGCTCTTCAGTGCATGGCTCAATGCCGCCATGGCGAAAACAGTTTGTGATGACGCTGGCATCAGTCTCGTTCCAGGCCTGTGCTATCCAGGTAACGGCGTTCAGCACATTCACGGACTTTGCGATGTCAGAAGCTGAGTTGCTATCATCCATCTTACTGATGACGTGCAGAAGCAGTTTTGTGCGGTTTTGTGCTTGACATTTTTTATGATGCCCTGGTCAAGAGGCTGGAGTTTAGAGGTGGTGTTAGGTGGAAAGAACTGGAGCTTGACATTGCTGAGACAATCACTGAGATTAGGGTGGCATGGTGCGTTGTCCATGAAGAGCAACATCTTCCTATCTTGCCTCTTCATGTCGCTGTCCACGTTTCTCAGCCACTCCTCAAAAAGCTCAGAATTCGTCCAGGCTTTGCGATTGGACTGCCAAGTCACGCCGAGAGCAGCCAGATTGACATTTCTGAAGCAGCGAGGCTGAGCAGATTTGCCTATCACAAATGGCTTCAGCTTCTCACCTGTCATAGAGCAGCAGAACATCACGGTGAGTCGTTCTTTTGACTGTTTTCCTCCTTTGCAGTCTTCTCCTCATTGGACTAGAGACTTCTCGGGGAGCGCGCGGTAGAAAAATCCGCTCTCGTCCATATTGAAAACGTTCTGCGGTTCGTAGTCTTTAAGGAGGGCGTTGACTCGCTCTTTCCAGTCATCAACAACGGCAGTATCTACGTCAGCGGATTCTCCGCTCAATGTAGCAAACTTCACGCCGTGGCGATTCCTGAAGGATTCCAACCAGCCGTTCGATGCTGCAAACGACTCGACGCCAAGGCATTCAGCAAAACTCTTCGCCTTCTGGCAGATCACAGGTCCGCTCAGGGGAATACACTTCGCTCTGCACGTCAGGAACCACTCCGAGACGAGGCCGTTCAGATCTTCATTACCCGCCTTCCTGGAATTCCTTTTCTTTGTCAGTGGAG